TAGAGTAGAGTAGAGTAGAGTAGAGTAGAGTAGAGTAGAGTAGAGTAGAGTAGAGTAGAGTAGAGTAGAGAATGAATAAGGTAGAGTATGAATAGAGTAGAGTAGAGAATGAATAAAGTAGAGTAGAACAGTATGAATAGAGGAGAGGAGAGCAGAGAATGAATAGAATAGAGTAGTGAAGAGTATTAATTGAGTAGAGTTGTGTATAGTTGAGTAGAGAATGAATAGAGTAAATAATGAATAAAGTAGAAAATGAATAAAATAGAGAATGAGTAGAGTAGAGTAGGGTAGGGTAGGGTAGGGTAGGGTAGGGTAGGGTAGAGTAGAGTAGAGTAGCAGAGTTGGAAGGGACCTTGGAGGTCTTTTAGTCCAACCCCCTGCTTCAGCAGGAAACTCTATACCATTTCAGACAAAAGAGGATTCCCTTTTTTAAGACCCTGTAATCTCTTAATTCGGGATCGAGTCGGGGTGACTGGATGGAGCTGAGCATTTGCTGGCTGGATGCCCTTCCTGATGCCTATTCAGAGTTCCCAGATTTTTTTTTCTTTGAGCCCTAGGAGCTACCTAGGATTGAACTCTAAAACTTCTGAGTGGGAAGCGAGTGCCTTCACCACTAGGCCATCAAACCGGTTCGTTGTAAGTCGAGGACTACCTATATATAATTCCTAGAGTCCATCCCCACTGGGGGTTCACTGCTCTGAACACTCTAGAAAAAATGATCTAAAGTAACATTCTCTTGCCAAATAAAATCTCGGCTGGCAGCTCTAAGAAAGTCACGAAAAGCTCACCTTCAAGTTGCTGAACAAAACTTTCCCAATGGCACATAAAACATTTTTAGGAATACTCTGAAGAAAAGATACTACAAGCATGAAAACAGGAAAAAGAAAAAGTTGGGAGAAAGGAGGAGAAGAAGAAAAATGATTGAAAGTGGAATTCGTGAGAGCCCACAAGAAAAAGAGGAAGAATGGGAAAACAAGTTGGATTCGTAGATTAAAGGGAATAGTAGTATGATTGGTATCGTTATGCAACAAATTAAGAAATGAAAATATAGTACATTGTTAATTGTAGAAAAAAATGGGAAGAAATGCTCTCTATGTCAAAACGTAACTGGAGGATCTATATTTATAGTAAAGCAGACCAATCGAGAAATATGAAATGATAATTTTGGTGCAATTTTTGAAGGGGGAATTGAAGAGATTGTTTACGTCCTAAGAAAAAAAATGAGAATTGAAAAAATGGAAAATAACGGAAGAAAATAACGTGGCTGAAAGTGAAAATCCAAGCTGTGACATAAAATGGATTATTACATCAATGAGAGGAGGTAAAAGGGAAGACACTTTGTTTCTACAATATGTGTATAAAATAAATAAATAAAACATTGCTAAAAGTCGTAATCTGTTCAGGGAAGTTGCTCGCTAAAACTCCAAAACTTAAAAGAGAGAGAGAGAAAGAGAGAGAAAGAGAGAGAGAAAGAGGGAGAGAGAGAAGGTAGAAAGAGAGAGAAAGAGAAAGAGAGAAAGAGAAAGAGAGAGAGAAAGAGAGAGAGAGAGAAGATAGAAAGAGAGAAAGAGAAAGAGAGAGAAAGAAAGAGAGAAAGAGAGGGAGAGAGAGAAGATAGAAAAAGAGAGAGAGAGAGGGAGAGAGGGAGAGAAAGAGAGAGAGGGAGGGAGAGAGAGAGAGAGAGAGAGAGAGAAAGAGAGAAAGAAAAGGGAGAGAAAAAAAAGACAGAGAGTGAGAGATAAAAGAGAAACAGGGAGAGGGAGAAACTGTGAAAGGCAGAATGCTTATCCTTAAGAAATTCTTCGCCTCGAATTCACAAAACAATCCCAAAAGCGACAGCTGTTGTGTGTCATTGCCAACCAGTCAAGGCGGGGGCCACTTCCGTTTGATGCTAAGGATGTTTTTTTTCCCCTCCTCTCTTTCTCTCTCTCTCCCTCTTTCTCTTCGCTTCCATTCAGCTCAAACTCACAGAAACCAGCTGTTTCGGGGGGGGGGGGATCCGAAAGCGCTTCCAACTTCTTAAAAATAACACAAGGCAAAAGTTGTGGTTTGGGGAGGCGACGCCCTCCCCTTCAAACAATTCCCCCGCCTCCCAGCCAGTTCAGAGTTCTCCCACTGGTCCTCCTCCCTTTCAAAGGGAGGATCTGGAGATCCACAATAAGCAGCCGGCGAAGAATAAAGGAAAAGGAAATGTTTTGGAAAAATTTCCCAGGCTGAGAAGACATCCTGAAATCTCTCCAAGCCGACGACGACGATATGTATTTTTTTCCAGGGGAGAAAAAGCAACTTCCTCCCGCCTTGGCAGCTGGAGAGAAATTTCCTGCCATTCATCGGTGGGACAACTTGCCTCCAGAAGTTGGGTTTATTAGATTTATAAACCAAAGTTGTGGATGCTCCATCATTCCTGGAGGTTTTTCAAGAGGAAGCTGGACACTCACTGGTCCAGAATAGGATAGGGCAGGGGTCGGCAAACTTAAACACTCAAAGAGCCATTTGGACCCGTTTCNTTCATTCAACATTTGGGTGGGGCGGATTAAAATTTTTATCCCCAGGCCTGACGGGATAGCCAGATCTTAAGGGCTGTGTTGAAGGTCTGGACAGTGGTGAGGGTGCGAATCTCCACGGGGAGATCGTTCCATGAGGGGACTGGAGGCTAAAACCTATGAAGAACAGTTGTAGGAATGGGATATGTCTCGTATGATGAAAAGAAGGACCAGGGGAGACATGATAGCAGTCTTTCAATATTTGAGGGGCTGTCATATAGAAGAGGAGGTCAACCTATTCTTCAACTGAAGGCAGGACAAGAAGCACCTGGAACTAAGAAGAAATTTCCTGATAGTGAGAACAATAAACCAGTGGAACAACTTGCCTCCAGAGGTTGTGGGTGCTCCAACACAGGAGGTTTTTAAAGAAAACCAGGAGAAGTCTTCCCCATTAATATACCACTGACAATAAATGCGCTTCTGGTGAGGGAGCGAAGAAGAGAAGAAACCCAAGAAGATACAATAGTTGTCTTCAACCACCTAGAAGATTGTCATGGAGAAGACAAGGCAGAATTGTTCAGTGCCACTGGGGAAGACCGAAGAAAAGAAAAGAAAAGAAAAGAAGAGGAGCTTCAATTACAAGGAGGTCCATTTTGGTGGAACATCTGGAAAAGTTTCTTAATGATAAGAGCCGTTCAGCAATGGACCAGACAGTACTAGAAGAGGGTGGGCTCTCCTTTTGGCCAGAAGCACTTCAAATGAAGCTGAGTCAAGGATACTGCAATAGTCCACTCTTGAACCTGGCAGGGAGACGGAATAGATCAGGAGTCGGTAATTGTCAGGGCTCCGGAGCTGCATGTGGCTCTTTCATCCCTCTGCTGTGGCTCACTGCCACTCAAAATATGCGTCACCACCGCCAAGGTGAGACACCCGCCAGCACGGGATTTATTGAGCTTTTTGACCCGCAGTAGGCCAACCATGGATAAATCCATGTTTTAGAAGAAAACAGAACATTTAATTCAACTACATAGGGTAGTTTTGTGGCCGCTCGGGATAATAGTCAGGCACGAGAAGGGTTTTGTGGCTCCCAGTGGGAAACAGGTCCAAATGGCTTTTTGAGTGTTTCAGGTTGCTGACTCCTGGACTAGGTTCATTTTCCCCAAACTTGGGGACTTTAAGATGGGTGGACTTCAACTCCCAGAATTCCGCAGCCAGAATACTGGAAGTTGCACTCCACTCCCCTTTGAAAACCACTTCCCCACGATGGTTTCCAAGCTCTGTCTCAAGGCTTCTGTTGCAACATCCTTCCAAATCTATATTTTTCTCTGATTTCTCTGCTTTGTAGACTAAAATAAACGACAGTCTGTGGCAATCTTGTGACCTCCAGACAAATCAGCAACCCATTAGCCATCGGTAACTGACTGAGTAATGCTTTCTTTAGAA